TCCGGCGGCGGTATCACGCCGCCGCCGTCCACCGCTGCCGCGCGCGCGCCCGCTATGGTCGTCGCATTCGAAGCCGCGACGAGCGCCGCGTCCGCGTCCGGTCCCGGCGTCGGCGCCGGCGCGGGCGCGGGCGCGGGCGCGGGCGCCCGCGGCGGGATCACGCCGCCTTGGTCCGCCGCCGCCGCGCGCGCCGCGCCCTCTTTGTTCGTCGCGTTCGCCTCGCTCGCGGCCGTCGTTTCGTTTACCGTCCCGCCGGGCGCGGCGTTCGTCGTCGCGTTCGCGATCGCGTTCGTCGCGTTCGCGATCGCGTTCGTCGCGTTCGCGGTCGCGTTCATCATCGCGGCGAGCACGCCGGTCACCCGCTGCCCCCGCAGCATCTTCGCCTTCGCGACCGGGATCTTGAAGGGTTTGTTCTTCGTCGGCGCGACGGGCGCGTCGTCCGCGGTGGGCGCGGGCGCGGGCGCGGGCGCTTCCGCTTCCGCTTCCGCTTCCGCTTCCGCGGGCGCGGGCGCGGGCGCGGGCGCCGGGGAGGGCGCGGCGTCGTCGTCGACCGCGTTCGATCCGGTCGCGTCCGTCGCGTTCGCCGCCGTCGCGTTCGCGTCCTCGAGCGCGCGCGCGGCGCCGGCCGCGGTCGCGGTCGCCCGCGGCACGCGCGGGGCCGCGTCCGGGGCTGGCGCGGGCGCGGGCGCGGGCGCGGGCGCGGCGCCGCCGCTCGGCGCGAACGGGTCCGCGGCGAGGTCGTCCTGCTGGAGCGCGCGCAGAGGACGCGCGGCGTCGACGCCGACCGCCGCGGTCGCGAGGATCGCCGCGAGGACGAGGACCGCGGCGAGTCGCGTCGTCTTCATCGTCGCGCGAGTGGCGTGTGTGGCGACCTTCCAGCCAGAGCCAGAAAGGGCTTTTTCTGTTGTAGCTGGTTGTGACAGTGGTTGTAACCGGTACGCATACGAAACTGCGTCGAAAGCGTACTACGCGCAAAACTACCCCTCAGAGATTTTGAAATTGCGTTGACAACACAACCGCGCGCACGATGTCGCGCGCGATGAGCGAGGCGCTCTCGGACATCTCGTACAGCGACACGACCGAAGTCGCGCCGATGCAGGACGTGATGGCGTCCCCGGAGCACGTAAAAGCGGTCGCCGCGAAGCGCGAGCCGCCGAGGAACTCGTTCGGAATCGAGGCGGAAAAACGAGAGAACACCCCCGAGCGCGGGTTCCTCGCGACCGCGGTGCGCGCCGTCCTCCCTCCTCGCCTCGCACGTCGCGTCGCCGCTCTCGTCGCCTTCCCCGTCGATCCGACCTGTTCGCTCGCTAACGAACGCGTCTCCTTCCCCGATACGCGCGCAGGAGTCCGTGTACACCGACGACGACGAAGAGCGCGAAGCCGTCGCGGTCAGTCGAAGCCCGGCGAGATCGGACGCGGGCGGCGGCCTTCCCCCGACGCCCGCGGCGGCGAGACCCCCCGCGCCGCCGCCGCGGCGACCGCCCGCGGCGGCCGAAGAAGCGATCCCTCCACCGAGCGCGTCGAGCCCGACGCGACCGGCGACCGCGCCGAGCCCGACGCGACCGGCGACCGCGCCGATGAGCCCGCCCCAAGCGGCCGCCGCGGCGGCAGCCGCCGTCGCCGCGGCAGCCGCGGAAGCCGCCGCGCGCGTCGCCCGCGAGAGCCAGGAGCTCGACACGACCGTGGAGTTCCTCCCGACGCCGAGGAAGCGCGAGCGAGAGATGAACGTGGGCGAAGACGCGCGCGCGACGGCGACGTCCCCGATCAGATCCGCGACGAGCCCGGCGAGGCCTTCGACCGCGGCGGCGGCGGCGGCGGCGGCGGCGGCGGAGACGGAGACGGAGACGGACGCCGCAGCGCCGGCGGTGGACACGCACTTCCTTCGCAAAGACGGCGGGAACCAACCTGCGGTGATGTCGTCCATCGCGGGTCTGCGCGAGGAGGAGGAGAACTCCCGGGACAAGGCGTTCGAGGAAGCCCTCGAGCGCGTGCGGCAGTCGCGAAGAGAGATCGCGGATAAAGCCGCGAAAGGATTCGAAGACATGCGCGCGTACTACGAAGCCGAGCTCGAAGAAGTGAAACGCGCCGGCGGGTCCGGGTCCACCGCGATGCCGCCGCCGCCGCCGACCGTGGAGGCGGTCGCCGCCGCGGCCGCGCGCGCGGAGAGCGCGGACCGTTCGGCCGAAGGATCGCGACGGAAAGCGTTCGCGTGGGATCTGGACGAGGGCGCGATGAACGAGACGCTCGCGCGCGAACGCGAGGCGCGGGCGGCGGCGCGCGAGAACACCCCGCGGGACAGCGTCTGGCCCGGGGCTTGGAACGGGAGCTACAGCCCGCCGCGGGAGGTCCCCGCGGACCCGCCGTACCCGCTGCCGAAGCAGTGGACGTCCCCGCCGAAGGACCGCGCGAACTTGAGCGAGCCGCCCGAGGTGACATACCCGCACGACGAGGCGAGGAAAGCCGCGGCGATGGCGGCCGCGGTCGCGGCGAAGCAGCGCGCGGACGAGAACGGCGGCGTCGATCCGTTGCTGGTTCCGGCGACGACGAACATCCCGATGGCGGCGGCGCCGTTTTCGTTTGACTCGACGTCGGGCGCGGGGAAAGCGAAGGATGCGAAATCCCCGAAGCCGACGCCGCCGCGCCCGAGCAAGACGCAGCTCGACTTCGAGGAACTGCAAGATAAGCACGCGAGGGAGGTCGCGGCGTATAAGGCTGCCGCGGAGAGAGCGGCAGCGGCGAGCGCGAGAGACGCGGCGGAGTACGACTCGACGATCAAGAAGCTCAAGGAAGAAATCGCCGCGCTCGAACGAAGAGAAGCCGCGGCGGAACGCGCCGCGGAGACCGCGGAACGCAAGGCGGAGACCACGCTCGCGTCCTCGAGAGACCTTGCGAACAGGCTGCAAGCGCGAGACGCGGAGGTTCGAGAGCTCGGGCATCAGTCCGCGGTTCTGAAGGAGCAAGCCGCGAGCGAAAAGACGGCGTCGGAGGAGGCGACGCGGAAGCTTTCGAACGCCAACGCGGAGCTGAACAAGCGCGCGAACGAACTTCGGGACGAGCGCATGAAGCGCGAGGCGTTTGAACGGTCTATCGCGGATTTGAACGCCAAGCTCGACGCGATGAAACGCGAAAACATCGCGACGCAGGCGAAGTTATCCCGGGCGGAGGACGAGACGTCGCGAGCGCGCGAAAAGCTCGCGGCGGCGACGGAAAAGGAGAAGGAATCCGCGCGCTACGCGCTCACGGTGAGCAAAGAGAGCGAGGTAGTGCGATGCGAGAGCGCCATCTTGCGCTCGAGCAACCAGAAGAGCGCGGACGCGACCGCGGACGCCGCGAACGCGCTGCAAGCCGCGAAGCAAGAGATAATCGAGCTGCGCCGGCGGTGCAAACATTTAGAGAAGGACGCGACGACGCGCTCGATGGCCTCCGCGCCCGCGGTCGTCGCGCCGTCGCAGTTCCAGACGCAGACGCAGACGCGCGCGGCGTACGCGAGCCAGACGAGCAGCGAGGGGATGCGCGCGGTGATGCGCTCCCCCGAGCGCGCGCCGTCCGGGCGCGCCCGACTTGGACCGGGGCGCGACCGAGACGAGAACGTCGACCCGGACGCCCCCGCGGCGGGACGCGCGACGACGAAGGACATCTCGACGACGTCGAACCCGATCTGGAACCTCGGCGGCGTCGACGCCGCGGACGCGAACGACCCCGGGCCCGACGACCTGCACGACCGATCGTACGCTCACGTCGTCCCCGAGCAGCGGCGGTTCGTCTCGCCCCCGCGCGCGAGGGCGCCGGCGGACCACTTCGGCCCGGGGATGGTGCCCGTGCTCGGCGCGGGCGCGCGCCAGCCCGGGGCGGAGTCGTACGGCTGGCAAAACGCCGGGAGGGTCACGTCCGGGAACATCGGCGTCGGCATGGTCGAACGCTCGGACGCGAGGAAAGAGGAGGTGCGCGCCGAGCGACGCGAGCGCGCGATGGAGAACGCGGCGGCGGAGCAAAGGCAGCGAGACGCCGCGGAGGCGGACGCGGCGGCGCGGCGGCGTAAGACGATCGCGGACCAAGCGCGCGCGGCGGCGGCGGAGCGCGACCGCGCCGCCGCGGAGGCGGCGGCGAAGCGCGCGGCGGCGGAGGAGGCTGCGGAGGAGGCGCGACGGGCGGCGTACGAAGCCGCGAGGGACAGACGACCGACGCCGCCGGCGGTGGCGGCGGCGGCGGCGGCAGCGAACGCGGCGACGACGCACGCGGTGCTCGAGACCGCCGCGGATCGATACAGCGCCGCGGAGGCGAAACGTCGCGGACGCGAAGGCAGCGGGTGGTTCGGCGGGCACCTCGACGGCCCGGAGCCGGTCGCGAAGACGGGGAAGCACTTCGTCCGCGCGGGCGCGGGCGCGGGCGTCGGCGCTTCGACCGACGCCGCGCCGTGGCGCCTCGCCGCGGAGGAGAAGCGACCGACGCACGCCGCGCCCGCGGCGGACGCGAACCCCGCGGCGCGGGAGAAGCCGAGGCCGTTCGCGACGACGGAGTCGTACGAATCGTGGAGCTCGCACTTGGAGGCGCTCGAGTCCAGGCTCACGAGTTTGAGCCTGGAGAGAGACCGCCTCGAGGGAGAGCTCGACATGATGCCCGAGGGCGCGGGGAAGACGATCGCGCAGCGGAGGAAGAAGACCGAGTGCGAACGGCGGCTGGAGGACGTATCGCACGCGCAGACGGAGGCGCGGCATCAGCTCAAGGCGGCGCACGATAAGTATCAGTTCGAGTAGGCGTCGACTCGACCAAACAACTCAACCATAATTTGACATAAATTATCGATCAACTTTCGTCTCGTCCGACTCCTCCGCCGGCTCCGCCGTCCTCCCCCGTCGCGGTTCGTCCTCCGCGTTCGCGTCGCGCCGAGGAATCACACGCGTCGTCATCGTCCGACCGCCCCACGGCGGGCATCGCGCGCGCGCACGTTCCCCCAGCCTCGCGAACGTTCCCGAGCCGAATCGTGCGCGCGTCACGTGTTACGTTCGTGTCACGAACTTAGGTAACCGTCTTCGCGACGCAGCACAGGCCGCAGCACACGACGCGCTTGACGCAGCTGACCGCGGAGTACACGCAGCTGCAGAGGGTTCCGAGAGGGCCGCACATTGTTACGTTCGAGTTTGGGTATCGAGTGAAGCGCGCGCGTTGAGAGTGGAGTGAATCGCGCGGAGGCCGCGGGCACGAGAATCGAGAAAAAAAAAATCCCCCGCGAGAGTCGACGAACACAAGCGCTTCCAGCGATGAAATCTGCAATTGAGCGCATATTGATCGATCGAAAATTTTGAAAGGATCATTTCACCGTATCTTAAGCGTCGCTTGATCGGACCTGCCCGCGAAAATAAAAACGTGTCATCTTGGTTGGATGCTTGCTGCAGATGCAACTGCCGGAACAGCAGGCTGAGGTGACCCTACACTACGGCAATCGTCGGCGCGCGACGCGATGGCGCCGCCACCCCTCGCGGGTTTCGACGGCGAACGCCAACGCCGCGCCCCGCGGCTCCCCCCCGCGTGCTTCGCGTCCAGCAGCGCGATGCACCACCGCGCGGCGACGGCGACGGCGACGGCGACGCCGTCGCCGTCCCCGGACGCGTTCGCGGCGGCGTCGGCGTCCGAGAGCCCCGTCCCTTCCGTGACCGATAGGATGTACGCGGTCGCCATGGGCGGCCGCCAGGCCGCGGCGGGCGGCATGGCCGGGATCATCGCGAGGACGGCGTCCGCGCCGTTGGATCGCATCAAGCTTCTGTTTCAAGTCCAGGCGATGGAGGGCGCGGGAATGAGCGGCAAGGCGTACACGGGCATCGGACAAGCGTTCGCGAAGATCTACAGAGAGGAAGGCGTCCTGGCCTTCTGGAAAGGCAACGGCGTGAACGTGATCCGCGTCGCGCCGTACGCGGCCGCGCAGCTCTCGTCGAACGACTTCTACAAGAAGATGTTGACCCCGGAGAACGGCTCGCTCGGGTTGAAAGAGCGCCTCTGCGCGGGCGCGCTCGCGGGGATGACGGGCACGGCGTTGACGCACCCGCTGGACACTATTCGACTCCGTTTGGCGCTCCCGAATCACGGGTACTCTGGAATCGGGAACGCGTTCACGACGGTCGTGAGAACGGAAGGCGTGCGTGCGTTATATAAAGGGCTCGTCCCCACGCTCGCGGGGATCGCGCCGTACGCGGCGATCAACTTTGCGTCCTACGACGTCGCGAAGAAGGCGTACTACGGCGCCGACGGAAAGCAAGACCCGATCAGTAACCTCTTCGTCGGCGGCGCGTCCGGGACGTTCAGCGCGACGGTGTGTTATCCGCTCGATACCGTCAGACGGCGGATGCAGATGAAAGGGAAGACGTACGACGGGATGGGCGACGCGCTGATGACGATCGCGAGGAAGGAGGGGATGAAAGGGTTTTTCCGAGGGTGGGCGGCGAACACGCTGAAAGTCGTCCCGCAGAATTCGATTCGCTTCGTGTCGTACGAGATGCTGAAGACGGCGCTCGGGCTGGGCGTGGGGCCGATATGAGGGGGGGATGGCTGGGGCGCTCGAGTTGATCCCCTTACTTATTCTTTTTTGTTGTACTGTAATCATGACGTGAGCGCGTTAGAGAGAGTACCCTCGAGCGTTCTTTACGTCGTTGTGCTATTCAGAGCTCGCGGAGGTATCCGCCGTCCGTCGTCATCGCTCGAACGACGTCACCCGTCGACGAAACGGGTCGTACGCGGCGTAGTCCGACGCCGCGTCCACGTCGTCGCTCGCGGTTCCCGGGACGTGACGCGCCGCGTGCTCCAACGCGTGCGCCTCGGCGCATTTCTTCGCGCACGCGCTCGAGCAGTAGATCGCGACGCGGCAGTGCACGCACCGTCGGAGGCGCATCCGTTCGCCGCCGCAGCCCGCGCACGCGTCCGTCGGCGGATACCTCGCGTCTCCGCCGTCCCCGCCGCCGCTTCCGACGTCCGACTTTGTCCTCCAAATCGTCAGCTCGTGCGCGGTGTCCCCCCACTGCGGCAACGGCACGCGCCTCACGAGCGCGCACGCGGCGCTGAGCTCCGTCGCGAACGTCGCGCTCCCGGTGTTCCCGTCCCATTCGCCCACGACGGCGACGAGCCCGCCGCCGGCGGCGGCGTGCGCGCGAAACGCGTCCGACGCGACGCGATCGCCGGGGGGCGGGTAGCACAGGAACAAGCCGCGGTGCTTCGCGTCTTTGCACGCCGCGGAAGACGCGTCGCCGGCGACGACGTCGTAGAACGGCGTCGCGTCGCCGTGGTACTCGTTCGACGGCGACGGTTGACGTTCCGTCTTCGCGCTGTTGTTCCCTGTCTTCGCGCTGTTCGCGCGCGTCGGTCGAAGGTCGAAGGCGGCGACGTCCATCCCGCCAATCTTTTTCATCGCCGCCGCCCAGTAGCCGAGTCCCGCGCCGATCTCGATCCACTTCCCGCTCGCCGCCTTCAACGCCTCGATCGCGTCCGTCGTCGGCGCGGCGTACGCGTACAGATGGCACGGCCAAACCCGCGCGGCGTCGCGCCATCTCTGCACGAGCTCGGGGCACGGCGGCGGCGGCGGGAGCGACGCGTCCTGTTTCTGTTTCTGTTTCTGTTTCTGTTTCTGTTTCTGTAACACCCCCCTCGCCGCCGCCCTCGCGTCCGCTTCGCTCGGGAGCCCCCTCCCCGTCAACACGCGCGCGCCCTCGACGTTCCGGGACTCCAGCAGCGTCAACAGCGGGTTCGCGCTCGCGCTCGCTTCGCGCGTCTTCTTGGAGACGACCTTCAGGTACGCCTCGCCCTCCGCCTCCGCCTCCGCGTCGCCGCACGCCGTCACCGCCGTCAAGTACGCCGGCATCTGAGGGGAGGGTCGTTCCGGGGTGGAGTTCAAAGGGGTGCGTCAGTCGAAGTTGAAAGGCGGCGCGGTCGAAGGTTGAACGAACGCGAGGGGTGGCGGGCGATGAGCGACACACGCCGGGAGAAGAGAAAGTCCTCGAGGAACGGCGGGGACCGGCGCGACGAGTCAAAGTCCTTAAGGATCGGCGTCCACCTCGCGAACGCGGTCGTATGGGGACCAGTGTATAGAACGCGCCTCGGGCGTCGTCGGCCCCGCGTCGCCCCCCGCGTCGATCCACGGCGCGACGCTGGAGTGGTACGCCATCGCGTACATCGCCTCGTCGAGGACGACCGCGAGGCGCACGATCGCGACGTCGCCCACGAGCGTAGTGCCCGGCGGGACGTCGCACCCGGTCGACGGGTCGGGTTCGCCGTCCCACCCGGCGGCGCGCGCCTTCGCGTTGGCCATCGCCGCGGCGTACGGATCCGTCTTGAACCCGACGCCGTCGCCCCTCGCGCCGCCGCCGACCGGCCCGGAGGCCTCGTGCTCCCCGCCCGGGTCCTCCTCTAGGACGACGGTCGCCTCGGCCGCCTTCTCTCGCACCGCGCGAATCATCTCCGACATCGCGAGCGACGTCCGTTTCGCGTGCACGGGTTTCTCGCCGTCGCGAATCGCATCCTCCATCCGTTCGCACTCGCGGCAAATCGCTCGCACCGCGGACGCGCACCACGCGCGGTGCCGCAACACCGTGCCGCACAGACGCGCGGCGGAGACGGCGCTCGCGAGCCGCGTGACGATCGCGACGACGTTCGAGTAGCTCGTCGCGACGTCTTTGCACTTGGGCGGTCGCAACGCGTACGCCGTTCGGAGCGTCTCGAGGTGGCCCTCCTCGTCGTCGAGTCGGAATCGATACGTGTGCTCGTCCGGGGCGAGGAGCTTGAACGAGCGCACGCGGCCGTGGACGCCGCCGAGGCCGAGTCCGGCGTCGCCGATGAGCGGTTGAAGGCGCCAGTGCGCGGAGAGGTGCGCGCAGAGGACCATGCGGGGTTCCGGGAGGCTTCGGTTGCCCGATCGCGACGCCCTCAGGTGCGCGTCGACGTGCGTTGGGTTCGCGTTCGACGACGCGGGCGTCGGCGTCGGCGTCGGCGTCTCGTCGTCGTCCGCGCCGCGCGTCGACGCCTTCCTCTTCTCCTTCTCCTTCTTTTTCTTCTTCTCCTTCTTCTTCTTCTTCCTCTCCCGCGTCTCGTCCAACCCCAGCGCCGCCGCGGCCGCCGCGCGTCGATCCTTCGTGCGCTCCTCTCGCGGCGCGAGCGCGTCCGCGTGGACGTGCCTCTCGCCGATGCGGTCGACCTTGTCCCTCAGGCGCGTCCCCTCCTTCTGCCGGAAGACGACGACATCGCGGTCGAACGGGCGCTTAAAGCGGTCCGCGCGGCGGGAGGTGCGCTTCGGGACGAGCACGTCGTCGTCGTGCGACATCGCGCGGCGGCGCGCGCGCGATCGATTCTGTTCGTTGTTGTTACGTGTACTCGCGCTCGCGAAGCCGAGGCGTTCTCGTTCGCGTTCGCCCTTCGAAACTCTCCAGCAGTGCTCACGACCGTTTTCGGGAGGGGGGGAGCAGGCGGCGGGGCACACGTCCGCGACGCGCGCGACGCACCCGCGCGTCCGCACCACTCGCGCGACGCCTCTCGCGCGACGCCGCTCTCCCGAAGACTAGACTCGCGCGGCCGGCGGTGCGACCACCTCCCTCGCGCGACGCGACGCGCGTCTCGCGTCCCGTCGGTCCATCGCTCTCGGACCCCCCGATTTGGGGTGCCGTGCCGCGCGCCGCGCCTCTTCCGGACGTTGACCCATCCGACGCGCTGACGACCGCCCCCACCCCCGCGTCGCGCGCTCGCTCTCGCAGGACGATCCGCTCCGCTTTCTGAATTCCCGCGTCATGACGACGGCGAGCGCGACGGCGACGAGCGCGTGCGTCCCCGGCCGGCCCCCGCGCGACAACCCCGCATCGCGCGCCGCGCGCTCGTCCGTTCCGTTCCTTCCGTTCGTCGCGAACGAACGAATCTGACGGACCACACCCCCCCCCCCGCCACCGCCTTCCCCCCACCTCGCCCGCAGCGCCGTCGCGACGTCGGACGCGAAAGAAAACGATGCACCAAAGTCCACGGCGATCCCGGAGCGCGACTACGGCCCGGAGGCGGAGATCGCGCGCCTGCAAGCGCAAGCGGACGCCTTCACGCGAAAGACGGAGCTCGAGAAGCGCGCGGTGCGCGACCTGGAAAAAGAGGTGGAGACGATGCGGTCGCGCGTCGAGACGCAGCGAAAGAAGATGGGCGGTCTCGACGCCGCGCAGAGGGCGAATAACCAGATACAGAAGAAGATCAAGATGCTCGAGACCAAGCTGGATAAGTCTCTGTGCCGGTTCAACGAGGCGAAGTCGCACAACAAGACGCTGAGGCTGACGATCGACAACCTCAGGAAAGAGCGCGCGGTGTTCGCCGAAGTGTACCGCAAGCTCGAGAAGGACTTGGACGCCAAAAAGGCGGACATGGGCGTCATCGTGGAGGAGAGCGATCGCGCGTACGAAGCGCGCGACCGCGCGGTCGCGGAGATGGCGAAGCTCAAGATGCAGGCGGACAAAGAGCAAGCGAGCTTCGAGAACGAGTGGAGGGAGCTCGGAAAACTCATCGAACACGACCGGAAGATGAAGGAATTCATGAGGAACCGACGCAAGGTGAACGAGGACGACGGGAAACTGGGGACGCTGTCGTTGGAGGAGGAGAAGAAGCTCAAGAAGAAGATCATCAAGGGGAACTGGGGGAACATCAAGACCAAGGCGAGGCAGAGCACGGTGCAGACGAAAGTGCACTCGTACACGGAGGCGTTTGAGAAGATCAAAGCAGCCGCGGGGATCGGTGCGTCGCGCTCGGCTCGGCTCGGGTTTGTTTTTTTTGGGGGGGGGTCCCGTCCCGTCTCTTCCCCGCCGACGTCGCGTCGCTTCAAACGCGTCCACGTCGGCATCGTCGGACGAATCGCTCGCTCGCTCGCTCGCTCGCTATCTCTCGCTCACCCGCGTCACCGCGCCACAACCCCCCCTGTTCGTGTTCTCTCTCTTTCGCAGACGACCTCGACGCGCTCGTGAGCAACTTTCTCAGCGCTGAGGATGAAAACTTCCGTCTGTTCAACTACGTCAACACGCTGAACCAAGAGATCGACGCGCTGGAGGAGCAAATCTCGAACGTGAAGGGAGAGATCGAGAAGTACCGCGGCGACGGCGTCGGCGGCGACGGCGCGCGGAAGAAGCAGCTCAAAGAACTGTCGGACAAACTCCTCGCGACGGAGCGAAAGGCGGACGCGTACGAGACGAAACACAAAGACGCGATGAAAACCGTGCTCCAGCTCAAGGATGGCATCTGGAAAATATACAACAAAATCGGATGTAACACCCCGGCGAACCGAGAACTCCTCGGCGAAGAGGGCGTGAACACGGAGAACATGATGCAGTACCTCGGCATCGTCGAGCAGCGCACGAACGAGATCCTCCAGATGTACGCCGCCGCGCAGGCGACGGCGAAGGGCGAGGCGTCGGATGAAAACCGCGCGGTGGACGACAAAAAAGACAAAGAGACGCGCGCCATGGGCTACGCCGCGCTCCTCTCGCAGGGTCCGGACAAGCCCGCGACGGGCGGCACGACGCTGAAGATCCAGCTCCCCACGACGAGAGAGACCGGGGACGAGGACAGCGACGAGAGCGACGTGGAGGACGACCGGCCCCTGAACCGCGACGAGCTGCGCGCGAAGACGTTGTCTCGGCTGGCGAAGCGCGAGCGCGCCGCGGAAAAGGAGAAGACGCACGCGCGCGCGCCGAGCGGGGGGATCGCGGGGGGCGGGGGGAAGGGTGGGGGCGGGGTTGGGGCGAGGAGGCCGCCCGCGGGGAGCCGGCCGGGGTCGAAGCTCGGGTCGCGGCCCCAGTAGATAGACGCGTCTCTCTCTCCGACAGACATCAGCAATCAGCAAACCGACCGTTTCTGTTCGCTCGCGGTTGTGTTCGTTCGTCCTCGCGACAGAAGCAGAAGCTCGTCGCGCGTCAATGTCGTTCGCGCCGCGGAGCGTCGCCGCGGAGCTGCGCGAGCGCGTTTCGCGCGTCCGCGAGAAACGCGCGGGCGCGGCGTCGAGAGCGCACGAGCGATGGCGGCCGTGGGACGAGAGCGCGTGCCCCGTCCCGTGGTCGTTCGCGGGCGCGCCGCGCGCGAGCATCGATCTCGACGGGCGCGCGGGGAAGTGGCGGTGCGGCGACCTCGTCTTCCGCGCGGACTTCGACGGCGGCAACCTCGCGAAGGTGGCGCGCGCGAGGGATAACTGCTACCACGTGTGGACGCGACCGGACTGCGACGGGACGCCGCACGAGACGAGACACCGGACGTGGTTCCACTTCAGCGTCGAGGGCGACGGCGCGCGGAGGGGAGAGACCGTAACGTTCACGATCATGAATCTGAACAAGCAAGGCAAGCTCTTCAACAACGGGTTCCGACCGGTGTACAGGACGCACCCCGCGATGAAAGCGTACGAACGCGTCACCGAGCCGTGCAAGACGCACGTCACGGACGACGGCGCGTTCAAGGTGACGTTCAAGCACCGGTTCGAGAAGGACCTGACGGCGCCGGGTGAGAAGGTGTTTTTCGCCTTCACCTACCCGTTCGGCGCGTACGACTGCGAAGCGATGTTGGACGCGATAGACGCGAGGTTTGAGGACCCGACGCACGGGGAGGCGTTACGGGAGGTGATAACGTACGGCCGCGAGACGTTAGCGACGTCCTTGGACGGGAGGAAAGTCGAGATGATAACCATCACGGGAAAAGAAGTTCGCGGCGGCGACGGCGGCGGCGGCGGCGGCGGCGGCGGCGGCGGGGACGAGGCGAACGAAAACGAGACCCCCCCCGAGCCCGACGCTCCCGGGGACGTCGCGGGCACGAGCGTGGACGCCCCGGGGCTGATCCACCGAATGTCCAAGACCTCGATCGCGAACTTCCCCGGACGTAACTCTCGAGGGAAGAAAGTCTTCGTCGTCAGCGCCGGCGTCCACCCCGGCGAGAAACCCGGCTTCCACATGATGTGCGGCGTCGTCGAGTTTTTACTCCGCGTCGACGACCCCCGCGCCGCCGCCGCGCGCGACGCCTACGTCTTCAATATCATCCCGTGTCTGAACCCCGACGGCGCGTTCCGAGGGCACTACCGGTGCGACACCCTGGGCCAGAACCTGAACCGGTGCTACGACGCGCCCGACGCCGCGAAGCAGCCGGCGATACACGCGGCGCGGCGGCTGCTGGCGGCGCACGCCGAACGCGACGAGCTCGGGTTTTACGTGGACCTCCACGGGCACGTGAACAAGCGCGGGTGCTTCGCGTTCGGGAATAGCCTGGAGGGGCGCGACGCGGTCGAGGCGCGGGCGTGGGCGCGGCTCGTCGCGCTGAACACGCCGCACTTTGACTTCAACGCGTGCGATTTCAGCGAGAAAAACGCGCGGATGAAAAACGGCGGCGAGGGCGGATCCAAGGAGGGCTCCGGCCGCGTCGCGATGCATCGCGCGACGGGCCTGCCGCACTTGTACGTCGTCGAGGCGAACTATGACGCGTCGAGACTGCTGTCGCACGTGCCCCCGGCGTCGAACGACCCGGACGGACGCGCGTCGCCGCCGTCGAGAGCGCTGCGTCCGGTCAAGTACACGCCCGGGACGTTTCACGGCGTCGGCCGCGCGCTGGTCGTCGCCGCGTTGGATCTGCTCGGGCGAAATCCGATGTCGCGCGTCCCGGCGTCTGAGTTCAAGTCGATGGACGGTCTGCGGCGGTGGGCGTCCGCGCACTGTCGCGTCGATCGGGGGGGGGGGGACGTCGCGGTGCGCGCGAAGGAGAGGGAGAGGACGGGCGGGTGGCCTGCGCGACGGGCGTTAGAGTTGAAATAGAAGACCGGAGGAGAGAAGACTCGAACCGTTTCGCTTGAACAGGTGTGCACTCTGAAGTGTGTCTAGCAGACTGGAGCAAAGCTCCTGTCTATAGACACCAGCTGTACGAACGTACTGCTATCAAAACGGCCAGCGGCGCGCCGCCAGGCGGCGAAAAACGTGAACACCTAAAAACGTGCGCCTCGGAAACAGAACCTCGCGCTCGCCCTCCCCGACGCGTCGATTCACACGCGTCCGCGGCGCCCGACATGGCGCCCGTCCGGACGATCGCGGTGATCATCGCCATGGAAGCGGAGGCCGCGCCGCTCGTGGAGCACCTGAAGCTCGTCAAGGCCAGGGAGAGCCCGCTGCCCGGGCCGATCCCCGCGTTGGTCTTCTCCGGGGACGTGCACGGCGCGAAGGTGCACGTCGTGACGAACGGGAAATCCGCCGCCTTCGGCGTCGACTGCGTCGGCACCGTCCCCGCGTCTCTGACCGCGTACGGCATCTGCCTCGCGCTGAAACCGGACATTCTCGTCAACGCCGGGACCGCGGGCGGGTTCAAAGCCATGGGCGGCGCGATCGGGGACGTCTACCTCGCGAGCGCGTTCAAGAATCACGACCGGCGCATCCCGATTCCCGGGTTCGACACCTACGCGATCGGCGCCGTCGACGCGTTCCCGACGCCCGCGCTGAGAGCCGCGATGGGGTTCAAAGACGGCGTCGTGAGCACCGGGAACTCCTTGGACGCCCCGGAGGTGGACCTCGCGTCGTTAAAGGCGAACGACGCGAGCGTGAAGGAGATGGAGGCTGCCGGGATCGCGCACACCGCGGAGCTCTTCGGCGTGCCGTTCGTCGCGGTGAAGGCCATCACGGACATCGTGGACGGGGACCAGCCCACCGCGGACGAGTTCATGGAGAACCTCGGCGCGGCCGCGAAGGCGCTCCAGGGGGCGGTGCCGAAGGTGATCGAATTCGTCGCGGGGAAAGAGCTATCCGCGCTGTGACGCTGAGAAGAAGAGCGCGGGACTACGTATTCCTTCTCGGGGAAGCCGGCTCGGGGATCGAATCCTCCCTCGGCGCGGCGACCGACGCCGCCGACGGGCTCGGGCGGCGCGTCGGGAGCGTCGCCGCGAGCGTCACAACGCGCGCGAGCGAGCTCGGCGCGGGCGTCGCGGAGACGACGGCGGTCGTCGCGTCCGCGTTGGGCGTCGGCGCGAACGCGGCGTTCGCGCGCGCGACGGCGGCGGTGAGCTCGGTGACGACCGCGGCGACGCAGCTCGTGAGCGGGGGCGGAGGGAAGGGGGTCGATGACGACGCCGTCGAGGTGTTGAGCGGAGGAGGAGGAGGAGGGGGGAAGGGGTTCCTGCTGCGACGACGACGACCCTAAAAAGTGACTCAATCAATCATCCACCCCACCAAGAATGACAGAGTTTCTACCAAAGTGTTCCTCAACAGGTCCCGCACTCTCGAGGTGACCCACCGCTCAGTTTCAACATTTGAACGCGTCTCCTTTCAACTGACCGGTGAACTTTTTTCGACAAAAATCAATCTACGCCGCACGTCTCGTTCTTCATGATCGACTCACGTCACCCCGGCGGGGGGAGCTCGAACCCGGGGAACCACGACGTCTCCGGAGCGAGCGTGTCCGCCAAAAACACGACGACGCCGGCCAGCCCCTCGAACAGCGAGCTCGGTCGGTCCGCGTCGCGGCTGCTCTCGACCGCGTGTTTCGCGCAGTACCGCGCGAACCGCTTCGCGCGCGCCAGCGACCTCGCGTCCTTAGTCACGCGGTAGACGGAAAGAAACGCGTACCCGTTCCCCGCGACGCCGTGGCACAGCCCGCAGCCTTTCCGCAAGACGCCTCTGCGCCAGACGACCTCCGCGGTCTTGCACAGAGGCGAGTGGTACGCCCGCGCCGGGGCGACGCACGGCCCCGGATGCGAGATCGCGTGCGCGAGCACGGGCGCGAATCCGCCCGCGCCGTGGCACCACTGCACGAGCTTCGACGGCGCGGCGGACGACGCCGACGACGGGAGGTTGCCGTCGTGGAGCTGCTTGGACGTCAGCGACGACAGCGCGTCTCGAACGCGCGACCACGGCGGCGGGCCCGGGCCGGTCGGCGTCGTCGTCGGCTTGGAAGGCTTCGAGGGCGACGGGTGGAACGCGTCCAACGCGCGCGGAGGCGCGCCGTCGCCGTCGCCGTCGCCGTCGCCGTCCCCCGTCCCGATCCCCGCGCGTCCCCAGCACCCGCCGGGGGCGGCCCACCCTAAGACCTTCTCGCACTGCATCAACGTCAGCGCGATCCCCGCCGTCCCGTGGCACGCGCCCAGGTACTGCTTCCCGTGCCAAACGAACGCGAGGCCTCTCCCGACGCCGAGTCGGCCGGCTTCCGTGGCTGAGGGCCGTTCCATACAAGCGAACGTCGGGGTGGAGTTGAAAGGCGTCAGTAGAAGTTGAAAGGCGTCGAGGACGGGGATTGAAACCGTGGTGTGGGCGGAGAGAGACGACGGCAAAAGTCCTTAAGGATCGGCGCTCAACACGCCAACGGGGTCGTATGGGGACCAGTGTATAGAACGCACCTGATTCGAAAGCCGCCGCCGCCGCGCACGACGCGGGTTCCGTCCCCAACTCCGCGCGCAGTTCGCCCTCCTCGACGATGTGTCGTACGATCCTGTGAAACGCCTTTCCTGGAAGCGTTTCAGCCGCGATCGACGGGTGCACGCGCGTCCTCGCGAACAGCAGCGCGTGGAGATACCCGGCGCGGCCGTAGAGAAGCTCGCACTCGTCCCGCGGCGCGGACGCCGCCGCCGGCTCGAGCGCGACGAGCCGTCGGACGCGGTCGCGCGCGGCGTCGTCGGCGCCGAGCTCGGTCAACACGGCAGCCTCGAGCGCGTGGCACCCGGCGACGCCCTCCAAGAACGTCGTTCGAGGGTGACGACGCCGCCGCGCTTCCTCCTCGACCTCGAATCGTTTCCGTCCGCGCTCGCAGTGGGTCAGCGCGGCGCGTAACATCGCCCCCGTGGTTCGGCCGAACACCGCGCGCTTGGGATCGTTCCCTCGCGCGTCCCCCTGCATCGCGCGCTGCACGAGCGCGAGCTTGTAGTACATCATCCCTATCCCCGCGATGCCGACGTACACGCCGCCGCCGGCGATACCGCGCGCGTCGTCGTCCGCGTCCGCGTCGTCGTCCGCGTCCGCGTCCGAACGCAGCGCGCGCTCGATGACGTCTAGGAACTCGCGACAGCTCGACGCGACGCGCGCGGCGTACGTCTCGGGAGCCAAGTCCGGGGCGTTCGGGTCGTCGGACATGATGTGCGCGACGCACCGCGCGTCCCGGGGGGGGGACGACGGTGGTGACGCCATGAGACGCGCGACCGCGGCGGTGGTGCCCCGCGCCAATGCCGCAAAAAGTGCGCTGCGTAAGACGCGCGCTGCCTGGCGCGGCGCGCTCCGGTATCCGGGCCTCCCGAGCTCCGACCCGCGCTGAGGAAAAACGTGATGCCGTATTGTGTACCGAAAAATATGTACTCGTATGGGCTTTTAGTCTGTCAAAATCGGGCCGCGAATAACCCAATAATAATATCCCAGATCCTGGGTCGCCGATTCGCAGTTTTTCTGACGCGGACTGGGTGGGGTAACAATATCTTCCGCCCGATCTCCGCCGGCAGAAGACACGCGCGCTACGCCGTCTCGCCGATACGAACGCACCACAAATGTCCGCGCTCTCTTTCACCGCGGCGGTCGCGCCCGCGAACCGCCGCGTGTTCGCCTCCGCGAAGAAAACCTCCGCCGCGAAGAAGGCTTTCCGCGTCACCGCCTACACGGAAGAACGCAGGTACGAGCAGTCCATGAAGGTCATGGATCGAACCCAAGAAGTCCGAAGCATGCGCGAGCTCGAGGCCGCGATGAACCTCGCGGGCGATGCGCTCATCATCGTCGCACTCGAGTCCGACGAAGAGTGCGTCGCCGGCGACCAGGCCGCGTGCAAGGAAGTCACCGCGTCGCTCGCGAGGATCGCGCGCGACTGCAAAGACGTCGTCTTCGTCAAGGCGGAGGTCACGCACAGCGGCCCGGAAGCGCGCGAGATCGCGGACAAGCTCGGCGTGCACCAGTTCCCGACGTACCAGTACTACAAGGTGCGTTCGAGCGCATCGTCGCGGCGATCGCGGCGGGCGCGCGCGGGAGCGATCGCGCGATCGCGTCGCCCGAGAATCTTTCCCTTCCGCTTCCCCCGATCGAATCGAATCGGTCGCTTATCGTTCGATGAGTGAATTGAATGAATGATGCGACATCCCTAAAGACCGTAGTCGTCGCTGACGCCGTTCCCCCCTCGAACGCGAACCACCTCTCCCAGGGCGGCTCCCTCCTGTGGCAACACATCGGCGCCGGCACGGGCACGACGACGGAGCTCTCCGAGGGCGTCCTGTACTACGGCGGCGCCGGCGCGAAGGGCCTCGACGTCCACGACTGGGTCTCGGACATCAACTCCAAGAGCGATTTCACCGATTTCATCGATTCGTGCGCCGCGCCGCAAGTGCCCCCCGGGTTCGCGGGCGAGGTCAACGTCTCGTGCGATAAGCAGCTCGCCATCGTGGACGTCGGCATGAACGTGGACGCCCCCGTCGGGTGCCTCGACATGTTCCCCGCGGTGCTCTCGCTCGCGCGGAACACCGCCGGGTTCACGCGGTGGGCGCGCATGGGCCTCGACGGCGGACCGGAGTGCGCGGCGCTCGCGAAGGAGTGGGGCGTCACGAAGGTTCCGTCGTTCGTGATGTTCGCGAACGGTCGAAAGGTCGACATGTACGAGGGTTCGAATCGAGAGTTGCTCATGAGCCACGTGATGAACTTTCAAAAGGCGAACGGAATCACGCTTCCTCAGCGCGTCCCGCCGAAGCGCATGACGAACGCGGAGGCGAGGGAGATCGCTCGCGAGGCGAGGGAACGCGCCAAGGCGGAGGGCAAGCGCACGGGGTGGTGAGAAGCGCTTCCTTCGGAAGTACTTTCGTGAGTGCCTTCGTACTTCGGAAGTACGACGTGCGACGACGAATCGTGGCGTATACATACTGTTTGTTTTCGTTACGCCGATACGGTACCACATTTGTGAATCTGAGACGAGATGACTCTCCAAACCGAGAGCCAAACCAAACGCGCGTCGCATCAGATCGCTCACGCGACGTCTACGTCCCCCGTCCGCGGCCGCCCCGCCGCCGCCGCCGCCGCCGCCGCCTCGCGCTTCGCCTTCACCTCCCCCGCCGCCGCGATCGCAGCCTCGGACGGACACGACGGCGCCCGCCGACCGTGCGGCGACAGCCGCCGGGCGAGGCTCGTGTTCCGCGAGTTATTCCCCACCGTCTGCACCGCCGTCCGCAGCGCGCGCTCCGGCGACAAGATCACGAGCACCTCCTTCGCCCTCGACGCCGCGGTGTACACGAGCTCGCGCCGTAACAGCGGGCGATGATTCTCGGCGAGGCACAAGACCACGGCCTTGTACTCCGACCCTTGCGCCTTGTGCACGGTGAGCGCCCACGCGGGGAGCAAATCTCGCAGCTCCGAGCGAGAGTACGTCACCTCTCTCGCGGGGACGAGCGCGGCGGCAGCCGCGGCGCCGCCGAAGACGACGCGCACGCTCCCGTCTCCGTTCACCGCGTCGACGGTGCCGAGGTCGCCGTTGAAGACTTCCTTCACGTAGTCGTTCCGCTGCTGCAGCACGCGGTCGCCCTCGCGAAACGTGATCTCGCCCGCCTTGGTCTCGAGCCGTCCGTCGCTCGGAGGGTTGAGCCTCTCCTGAAGAAACACGTTCAGCTGCGACGTGCTCGCGACGCCTCTGCGGAACGGCGTCAACACCTGCAGATCCGTGGTCGGGTTCAGACCGTCCAGCGCGGGAAGCGCGCCGTCGAACAACGCCGCGAGAGCGCCCTCGTACGCGTTCTCGCCGTCCTCGGGCACCGTCACCCACACGCAGTCGGCGCCCTCCCAAGTCTCGGTCTGGTACGAGAGCGGCCCACTCTGGTTCGCGTTCGAGCTCGAGCCGCCGCCGCCGCCCGGGCCCGGGCCCACGATCGTCCGCGTCGCGTCGTCCCACCGCCGCGTCGGCACCTCCGGGATCCGCCCCGCGTTCATCGAGTGCGCCGCTCGAATGATCCCGCTCTGTTCCGCCTGGCGAAACACCTCGCTGAGCTGCACCGCGGGAACCGCGCGGGATTGGAGCACGTCGCGAAGGACGCTCCCGGGGCCCACGCTCGGGAGCTGGTCCGCGTCGCCGACGAACACGACCTGCGCGTCCGGTTTGACCGCGTCGAGAAGCGCCGCGCACAGCGGGAGGTCGAGCATGGAGCTCTCGTCGACGACGACGACGTCGGCGTCCAGCGGGCTCGCCTTGCATCGAGCAAACTTGCCCTTCCACGCGAACTCGAGAGCGTCGGACGGGTCGTCGTCCTCCTCCCCCGCGCCGCCTCTCTTCCCGGCGCGCTGCTCGAGGAGGCGATGGATCGTGGACGACTGCACGGGCGACGACATCGAGCGGCCGGCGGAGGCGATCTCCGCGAGCCTCTGCGCGGCTCGGCCCGTCGGCGCGCACATCAGCACCTTGCGTCCCATCGCGCGCCACAGCCTCACCGCGATGTGCACCGCGAACGTTTTCCCCGTCCCGGGACCGCCGGTCAGGACGCTGATCGGCTCGCGGAGCGCTAGGTCGAGGAACGCTTCTTGCGCGGGAGAGAGGAGGCGCCACCCTTCCCTCTCGGCGGCGGCTTTGAGCCACCGACGCACGCGCGGGACGTCCGGCGCGCGCTTCTGCATCTTCAGACGACGCGCGATGTCCTTCGCGACGTGGGCCTCCGCGTCGTACAACACCGCGGCGAACACCCCGTACCGCGCCCAGGACGCATCGTGCTCGTCGTCGGACGCGGAAGCCGCCTCGTCGGCGCCCTTCGCGGGCGCGACGATGCGGTTGATTCGTTTCTTGGCCAGGAGCTCGTCCGCGGCGGCCACGAGCGCGCCCTTTTGCAACCCCGCGGCTTGCTTCGGGCCTAGCAACCTCGCGACGCCGTCGCGCATCTCTCTCCAGTGCAAGTACACGTGGCCTTCGCTCGACGCGTTCACGTTCAGCACCTGAAGCATCGCGGCGGCGAGCCTCGCGGGATCGTCCGCCGATTTTCCGAGCCTCGCCGCGAGCGCGTCGGCCCGATGAAACGTCGCCCCGCGAAGCATGTAGAGCGCCTCGAACGGATCCTTCTTGACCTCCTCCTCGGTGTTCGCGCCGTACTTGGCCGCGACGCGCTGCGCGAGCGCGGGGTACACCCCGTGTTCTTCGAGGAACGCCGTCGCGCCGCGTCGCCCCCGCGTGACGTCCCAATTCTTCTTCAGCTTCTCAGCCGTCTTCGCGCCGACGCCCGGGCACCGCGTCAGCTCTCGCGTCGCGTCCGGGGAGTCCAACACCTCGAACGTCCTCGCCCCAAAGTGCGTCACGAGCCTCTCCGCGGTGACTTTCCCGCACCCGGGCAGCGCGCCGCCGGAGAGGTACCGAAGCATCGCCGGCTCGTCCGTCGGGGGCGCCAGCTCCTCGGGGGAGGCGTTCAAGACGAACTGCGTGCCCCACTTCTCGTCGTCGCGCCAGTCCCCGGTGAGCCTCAGGTTCAGACCCTCCGCGACGTTGGGGATGTACCCGGTGATCGTGATCACAGCCTCTTTCGCGCCGCCCGCGCCGCCGGCGTCCTTTTTAGTCTTGCGCTTTTGATACTTCGCTCCGCGCCCGCCCTTGGTCACCGCGGTGGCGCCGATCGGGAGCGCCGCGACGTCGTCCTTACACACCGCGAGCCGCGCGACGGTGTAGTGGTTGTCCGGGTTGTGGAAGGTGATGCGCTTGACCTCGCCGGTGAGCGTTTCCCCGACGATCGCGGTCGGTTTCGCGTTTTGTCGAGGCCCCGGCGGCGGCGGCGGCGGCGCGGCGGCGACGGCGGCGGCGTCGGCGGGAGGACCCAACTCTTCGATCGCCGCGGGCGCCGTTCGCCGGCGCGACGGCGCCTCCGCTGCCGCGCGCGACGCGAACGACGCGGATCGAGGGTCCACCCCCGACGCGCGCGCGGCGTTCCGGTGCTGCCCGTGCCCTGCGGCGCCGCCGCCGTTCGACGACGGGGGCGATCCGCCGGAGGTGAACTCCGCGACGATAGACGACGACGACGACGATCGGCCCGGGATGGTCCATCGCGCGGACCCGCCGCGGTGGCCGCGGTCGCCGCCGCGCGCGGCCGTCGCCGCGCGGCGTGGGAGCGCGCCGCGCGCGAGGGACGCGAGGCGGCGCATCCCGACGTTCGCGGAGGCGCGGCACGAGCGAGACGAGAACGACGGCTCCGAACGGGGAAGCGTTTGGGCCATCAATCGAACGCGCGCGCGGCGGAATCTCTCGCGTGCGTGCCTTTTCCCGCGCGCGCGACCCGTTCGCGCGCGCCGTGCGCGCGCGCGTTACTCTGTCGAAGCGGTCGCGCGGGTCACGCTCACGCGTTCGTCGGCATCACAGCGCCGAGCGCGCGAGGGTCTTCCTTCGGTCGTCGACGCGTTCGTCCGCGGCGCTGTGCGTGAGCCGTGATCTGCTCCCGGCGCGAAAATATCGCGTTGTGAGACAGGACTTTAACCTGTTGGCGGCCCACTACTTGTACAAGTTGTACCCACGGAACAAGAAAAAAATACTATCCAGCGATTCTTTTGGTTCGATCCAGCGATTCTCGCGTTTCCACTGCAAATACCCATACGCCACAGCCCTCGTACTACGTCCGCGTACTCCCTGGGTTCAAACTTCAGTCGTTTGAAAGGGGTACCCGCGGGCGTTCGCGCGCTGTTGGAGTCGCGGGAGCGTCACGAACGCCGACGTCGCACGCGAAGAATTTACTCGAAATACCATGATGCTCCGACCCATGCAAAAATATCACACCACTCACTGTGATGATCACGACGTAATCAGCGCTCGAACAGGGCCGGGGCAACTTTAAACATCGCGTTTTCAGGGAAGGTGGAAAAAAAGTTCTCCTCCTTCAAGAAAGATTTTGCAGAGTCACCCTTGAGACATATAAGCGCCGCTGACTTCGTTTTCTTTACGGGAAGTGGCACAATACTTTTGCTTTAATCGATGCCCCGCGATGTGACGAAGAACTCTTCTCATTGTACCGGAGATTGTTACGGCTATTCCGCGACGCTATGGCTGCGCGAACACGCAGACCTCGCGGAGAGGTGTAAAACTATCAGAACTCTGATCGTAGACAAAAGGGCCACTGAATCGTCAGACGGGTGAAAACCCGACCCTCGGTCAATGCTGATCGGTCAAGCCGATCAACCGCGAGTACGTGTACGCGAGAATCGCTGGATAGAACCGAAAAAATCGCCAGATAAAATTTTTTGCCACGGAACAAGTGGAAAAAACGAGCTCGCAAAAAAACGAGCCTCGCCTCGATTCAAAATAATTTGCGTTGTGAGCGCGCTTCCGGTCCACAATCGAACGCGAACGCGACGTCCGCGCGCTCGCTCTTCAGGTGCGATGCGCTCGATATCCGCGCTCGACGCCCGCGCGGCGTTCATATCCCGCGGCGACCGCGCGCGTCCGCGTTCGCGCGCGCTTTTTTGTGTTTTCACTTCGCATCTCGCGATCTCGCGCCCGCGCCCAGCGAATTCCCGCCAAAAGTACCGCTCGCGGGGAACAGCCCCCCGCGGCGTTTCGCGCGGTTCCGCGGCCGCCAGCGCGCGTCGTCTGCCCTGAACGCGCGGACGCGAGAAACGGGTCTCGTTTTTTGTCACCGCCACGACGAGCGCGAGCTGACGACCCGACGCCCCACTCCACCTTCCCCATCCCACCCGTCGTCGTCGCAGTCACCGAAAACCCCCAAACAGACTAAATGTTCACCAGCCTCCGCACCGCCCTCGCGCGCAACGCGTCGCTCCTCACGTCTGCGCGCGGCGCGAAGACCGCGGCGAAAGCTGCGCCAGCCTCCTCCACCAAAGTCGGGAAGGCGTGGGCCGTCGACCTCATCAAGGAAGAGGTTGGCAAGGTCGGCAAGGCTGCCATCACGAAGGCGCAAGCGGAAGCCGCGTTGGAAGCGCTCATCGGCGGGATCAAGAGCTCGGTCGCGTCCGGGCAGAGGGTGACGTTCCAGGGCTTCGGGTCGTTCACCCCCGTCACGAAAGCGTCGAGGATGGTTCAAACCCCGAAGGGGGTGAAGATGCAGCTCCCGGAGAGGAAGGGGCTTCGGTTCAAAATCAGTTCCGAGTTTAAGTCCGCGGTCCAGGGGAAATAGGTCCATCGCGGGCGCGCGAGCGACGTCGAGTCGACGACGAGAGGTGATGCGTAAGAAGAGAGAAGAGAGACGAGGAGGAGGAAGAGGAGAGACAATATGACGCCATATGACCGCGTCGTTTGCGGAGATTATTTGTAACGAGCGCGCCGCATGCCTTCACCGCGACGGCGTCGTCTCCGTTCTGTTCGTTCCCGCTCGAAGAGCTCGCGATCCGATTCGTTCATCCGTCCCGACGACCGACGACCTATGCCTACCCGCCCCTCCCCCCTAAACACCCCCTCATCTACTCGCTCGCGGGCGCGGTCGCCACCCACTTATCGTACGCGCCGAACATCGCGGACAACAACCCCAGCGCGCCGACGACGACGGGCCGCTGAAACGCGTTGCCGCCGCCGACGACGTCACCGGCGACCGCCGCCGCGTCCAACGCGTCCTGCGCGAGGTTGACCCGCCGCGTCCATCGCTCGCGCGCTACGTTCGCGAGCAGCGCGTCCAGCACCTCGTCGTCGAGTTCGTCGTAGGACACGCCGTCGGATTTCTTCCACGGCCGCCGCCGCGGAGCGAACGCGCCCTGTCGGAGCGGAGCGCGCGGGGGCGCGGCGTCAGTCGCGGAGTCGCGAGGCGTCACGGCGGGCGGGCGCGTCGGGTCGGGTCGGGATCGAAACCGAGGGGTGGCGGGCGGAGAGAAACGCGCGCGGCGCGGGAACCGAAAGTCCGTCCTCGAGGAGCGGCGTGCACCGCGCGAACGCGGTCGCATGGAGGGGGACCAACGCGCGACGGACCTTCGCCGCCGCCGCCGCGGCGACGCGGCGTCTCGCTTCCATCGCGTCGGCGATCTCGCGCGCGCGTCGATCCAGGTCCCGCAGCGCCAACGCGTGCAGCTGCGCGCTGAAGAAGCACACCGCGAGCTCGGCGTAGTTCGCGCCGACGCTGAACGTCCTCTTCCACCGCTCGTTCGTGACGAGGCGCGTCCGCGTCGCCCAGTTGCCTTGCTCGAGGAGGTTGTACGCGAGTTGGACGCCCTGACACGCAATGGCGAGGTTGTTGACAGTCACCGACGCGCGATGTCGTTGACGCGCGATGTCGTCGCCGCCCGCCGTCGCCGTCGCGCCCAATCGCGACAGCCGCCGGGAGGTTCGGGATAAGTCCCTGAGCTCCTTCGCGTTCCCGAGGAAGCGCCCGAGGCGGAGGAACTTCCTCGTCAGCGCGGTGTAGCGCTCGAGCTTCGAGAGCTTCGCGTTCGTCGTCGCCAGCGCGGTCAGCGCCGCGGCGTATCGCATCAGCTTCAGCATCTTGTCCATCCCGTCTCTCGTCTTGAGAAAGTCCACCGCGTGGTCCAGGACGTCGGGGGAGGGTTTCGACTCGGGCGGCGGCGATGTTAAACGCGACGACGAGGCCGGCTTCAGCGGGGGAGGCCCGCGCGATGATCGCGCGCTCGACGCGGGGCCCGCGACGACCCGATGCCGATCGTCGTCGTCGTCGTCCACGTCGCTGAGCGACGGCGCGGACGACGCCTCGCTGACGACGTCGGACATCGTCTGTCGGACGTCGCGGGGGCGGCGCGCGCTTCGGTCGGGTGTCTTCGGCGACGGTTGCGGGATGCGACGGCGAGGACCCTCGCGGGGCGCGGCCGCGTGTGCCCGGGGCGCGCTCGCGTCACCTCGGAAGAGCCGTTAACAACGAAAAAAAAAACTCTCATGAGCGTGCTGTTCGTTTAAAATCGCTCACAAACAGGTGGGGCGGAGCACGAACCCCAGCATGGGAGCTCCGCAAGAGACGCCCCCTCCCGCGAGGGATGCCGCCGGCGGAAGGGCGAAGCGGAAGATCTCCAAGCCCGGACGGTTCAACACGCCGCCGTCCGCGAAGAAGTGCGACCTCGCGCGTTTGAACAGAACGTCGATCGATTTGATTTCCCCGTGCCCGCGGGATCTCGCGTCCGTCGTCCCCCTGGGCGTCCCCCGCCTCCTTCGCGCGTCGCTGACCATCGCGTTCTCGTTTCCTCAGGACGAGATCCGAACCCGCGAACGCGTCGAACCGCGCGGCGGGATCGAAGTCCAGCGCGGGGAACGGAAAGAGCGCGACCGCGGCGGCGAGCGCGAAAGCGTCGATGCCTCCGCCACCGCGACAGCGGAAATCAACCTCCGCGCCCGCGTCCGTCGCCGCCGCCGCCGCGCACGCCGCGCCGCCCCCCGGCGCGGGGACGGTCGTACCCGCCCCCGCGGACAGCGGCGTGAGCGCGCTCGCGCTCGCGGCGCTGTCGTCCCCGTCCGCGGCGGCGTTCATAGGGCAGTCCCCGGTCCCCGCGAAAGTCGTCGCGGACGCGATGGCCGCGGCGAAACGCGCGCGCCGCACGCTCGCGTCCCCGGGCGGCGCCGAGCACGAGGGGCTCACGATGCTCTTAGAGGCGTCCGAGGAGAGCCCGTTCCGGAGCGATTTCGACGCCGCCGCGGGCGTCGTCGCGGGGAGCAAGGGGAACGGGAGGAAGACGGGGGCGACCGGGAGGTCGCACGGGAGTCAGGTGCGTTCTATACACTGGTCCCCATACGACCGCGTTGGCGATGTGGACGCCGATCCTTAAGGACTTTGCCCGTCGCATCTCTCCGCCCACCCCTCCCTTTCAATACCCGCCCTCGGCGCCTTTCAACTCCAACTGACGCCTTTCAACTCCACCCCGACTTTCGCTTGTATAGAACGGCCCTCAGCGCGCGCGCGGCGCGACGTCGCCGCTGCGGCCGCTGTCCCTCAACGCGTTCTCCGCGAGAGGCATGGGCTCGCCGGACGTCTCGACCGGGTGGGGCGACGCCTCGAGAAGGAAGCGCACGACGGGCGCGGGGAGGGCGTCCGTCGCGACCGCGATGAAGGCGTCGGCGTCGGCGACGGCGGCGAGGAGAGCGCCGGCGGCGCCGGTCACCGCCGCGCAAGCCGCGGCGAACTCGCAGGCTGCGGAGCTCGCGCCCGCGGTGCACGCGGTCGCGACCGCGGCGCCGACCGCGGTGTTATCCCACGCGTTGCGGTGGATCGACCTCCTCGTCGCGGATTTGAAAGGCCGCGGCGCCGCGCTTCGACGGTCGCGACGGCGGTTGCAAAAGGTGAAGATTGACCTCGTCGGCGCCGGCGCGTCGTCCGCGAGCGACGAGCCGCGGGACACCCCGGAGGAGGTCGCCCCGGAGCACCCCGCGGCCGCGGTGGAGGAGCGGACGCTGCTTCGCGACCTCGACCACGCGCTCGAGGCGGAAGGACGGTCGATCGACGCGCTGCTGAAGCAATCCATGGAGCTCCGGACGATGGCGTCGTGCGACGGATCCGTCGCCGCCCCGGGCAGCAAAGCCGCGGAGGCGTCGTTCGGCCCCACGGCGTCCATGCTCGGCGCGCCGCCGCCGCTGAACGACGCGAAGAAGATGACGGATTACTTCAGAGACGCCGCGGTCGCGTCCGCGGCGGCGTTCATAAGCACCGGTTTGAAAGTCGCCGCCGCGGAGGGATTCGGCGACGTCGAGAGCGCCGCCGCGGTTGCGTGTCCGGGGGGTACGCTGCCGACGCCGCACATCGCGTGCGCGAGCGGCGGCGGGGGCGGGGGCGGGGGCGGGGCGGTCCTGGCCGCGCGGTGAGGCAAGGCGAGGCGAGGTGATCTGATGCGTCGTCGGCACGGCGTCCGCGCGGTTTTCACGAGACGGAATTTTAATTTTATTATCCGAAGTCGACCGAGGTCGCTCGTCGAGAGTACACATACAACGCGATCCGCATCGACCGCAGTTAAAGCGCTTCGCGCGTGAAGCCCGAAAAGAAAATAATAGAGTACTGTAGATCCAGCACGTCCCCAAACGAACGGTATCACGGCAGCGGCTCCTGCACGTTCCCTAACCGGTTCAAGTGCAAGTACGCATCCGTGCCGTAGCCGTCCATGGAGATCACCTGCAGGTCACCGCCGAAATACCTCGCGTACAGACGACTCAACGGCAGCCCGTATCCGTACCCGGCCAGCACCACCGGTCCGGGCGTGTGTTCGTCCATCTCCAGCAGCGGCGAGTCCGCGGTCGTGTACAGGTACGTCCATATCCGCTGCAGCCCGCTGCGTCGGATCCCGCCGCCCTCGTCGGAAATCTTAATCGTGACGTCCTCCGCGCCCTCCGCGATGACGAGGCGAATCGGCGGCGGGTCGTCGTCCGAATCCGCGTACTTGTCCGACACCGCCCGCAGCGAGTTCTTCACGAGCTCGAAGAGCATCTGGTGCAAGTGCCCGGGCTCGTACGCGAACGTGAACGACTCGTCGCCGAACACCTCCACCTCCGGGGCGTCTCCGTACTGACGCATGCAGATGGACCGCGCGTCGTCGATGGCGTCTCTCGCCACGCGCAACGGCGACATCTTCGTGTGAATCAACCCGATGTAGTCCTCGCCCCTGGTATCGTCCTTCTCGTGCAGCGCGACGTGCTGCCCGATGAGCATGCGAATCCCTATGCGCGACATGTAGAACCCGTCCAAGAACTGCTGAATCTCCGGGAGGTCGTTTATCTGCGCGACGAGGCCTTTTTTACCCGTCCCCGGCCGCGTCCCGCCCTTCTCCGCCATCTCCATCTTCAGCTCCAAAACCCCCCGGGCGATCATCGGCACGACGTTCGCGTGCCGCTCCATGATCCTCTTGATCAACTCCGTGAACTTCTCCTCGTCCTCGTTCGTCTTCACCGTCGGAAACTTCAGAAGCTCGTCGTACGACTCCACGTACCAATCTCGCACCGTCTGCACCTGAGCCTTGCTCGACAGACCCAACGGGAGATTCTCGAGCTCCGCGACGCGGTGCGCGAACCGCACCGGGAGCTCCTTGTGCAGAAACTGCGCGCTCACCATGAGCTGCCGGTGTATCGGCTGCGACCCGAAGTCGAGCATGTACTTCAGCGACACCCCGGTCTGGTTCTTGAACGACGACCGGTAGATGTTCTCCACGAGGGTTCGATCGTACTTGTCCGCGAGCGCGCTCATCGCGCGTCGGCTCGCCGCGGCCGCGGAGGAGGGGTCCACCTTACCCGCGGGCGCGGGCGTCGCGTCCGTCGCCGCGGCGTACCCGCGACGCTGCTGCTGCTGCTGCTGCTGCTGCGCGCGCGCGGAGGAGGAAGGCGACGGCGCGTCGTCCGTCGCGCACCGCGCGCTCGCGGCTCGGATCCATCGCGCGCACGAGCTCGCCCTCGGGACGTCGAGCGCGACGACCGCGCGATGATTCGACGCGTCGCCGCCCGCGCCGGGGATCTCCCAGCGCGCGCTCGACGCCGCGTGCCTTCGCAGCGCGGTCGCCGCGCGACGCATCGCGGACGCGCCTCCGCGAGAAGACCCGCGCGCGACGTTACGTTCCCCCGCCGCCGCCGCCGCGGCCGCCGGTCGACCTCCCCGGACGCGCGGCGGGCGCGAGGGTGCCCTGCAGAAACGAACAAGATGCGACGGCGCGCGCGACTCGATTCCGCGCGGCGACGCGACGCCGCGGACGCGCGCGCCGCCGAACGATCGGCGCGGTGTTCCCCCACGAGCGACCCTTCGCGACTCTCGAGCGCTCCTCGCCCGTCGCGCGCCGCCGTGACGCCGCGCGCGTTGGGATGCGCGGCCGCCGCGTCTTGGGCGCTGACGCGGATAGGTTTTCGCGCCCGTTCGCGCGGCAGTCTGCAGCCGAAAGGAGATTCCGGGATTCGCTGCGCGCGCGGCTCAGGTTATCCCGTCGCCGGCGACGAGACGCGGCGCCGCCGACGACGACGCGAGGGTCGCGCGCGAGGTGTCGCCGCGCGCGGAGTAGTACGTGTATTTAACGCGCGTTATCAGCTATCTCGCCCCGGGGGGGGGCGGGAGGCGAGGCGAGGCGAGGCGCCCGCCGCCCCCGCCGCCGCCGCCGCCGCCAATGACGTTCACATTCGCTCGTCGCGCGCCGCCGTCGTCCCCTTCCCTCCCGTCCCGTCAGTAGTTCAGCGTCATGTCGTCGTTCATCCCCAGCATCGTCTCGATCGTGAACCGAAAGAACTTATACCCCGCGACGCCACCCCCGATCACGAGCACCGCCGTCTGCGGCTTCTTGAGCAGCCCGACGATCGGCCTTCCGAACATGAACGCGAAGCCGACCATCACGGAGATGGCGAAGCGCGCGTACTTGACCATGTTCGCCCAGAACGGCACCTCCCCGCCCGCGATCTGAAACAGCGCGTCGCTCGCGTCCGAGGCGTCCGCGAACGCGGCTGTTGCGTTCTCCGCCGCGGAGGATGGCTCCGCCGCGGTGAAGAACGCGAACGCGAACGCGGAGAAGAGCGCCGCGGCCGCGATCTCCGAGGACGAGAATAACGCGGACGACGACGACGACGACGACGACGACGCGCGGATCGTCGGTCGCGCCCCGGCACCGTCGTCGTCCGGGTCCGCGACGACGGCGGCGTCCTCCTCCGCGGCGTCCGTCGATCGCGTCGCGGCGGCGTCTGACGTCCTGCTAGCGGCGACGTTCTCCTCGCGGCGGAGGAGAGCGTCGACGCCGCGCCGCTCGCCGCTCGACCGCGCCTTTCTCGACGACGTCGTCGCGGCGCGATGCGCGCCGCCGTAGAGGCGCGCGACGACGACGACGCGCGGCGCCGCCGCGCGACGGCACGCCCCGCGCGGCGCGTAGGACGTCGACGACGTCGTCGTGACGAGCGCGCATCGCGCGTGCGCGAGCGTGGAGGGCGTCATCGTGTGCGACGCGGGCGCGCGGACGACCGACTCACGTCACACGCCGCCGCGCGGGTGGCTGAGGTGGCTCGATCTCCGACCGCGGACGCGGTCGTCGGAGGAGTCGAGACGCCGCGCGCGCGTCCGTCGCTCGCGCAGCCTCCCCCGCGCCGGCGGCGGAGAAGACGTCCCCGAACGCCGCGCGTCTGGTCTCCGCGCGAGCACCGCGCCTCAGCGCGATGCCGTCGTCCGCCCTCGCGACCGCGCCGTCGACGCCGCGGCGACCCGTCGTCGGCGCCGCGAGCGCGCAGCCAGGGGGGCGAAAAAACCGCGTTGTTAGGCGACGATCGCGACCGACGCGCGCGTCGTCGTCGACGACGCCCATCACGAACGAGGACTGGGAAGCGTCCTCCCCGATCGCGTTCGACGCCTCGCTCGACGACGCGCTCGCGTGCGACAAGGTGGTCGTCCTCGGCGCGCGCGCGTCGCTGACGTCCCCCGCGCTCGTCGACGCGCTCCCGCCTCCGATCGCGGCGGTGTGGACGGACGCGGTTCGGCTCACCCCCGCGGGCGACGGCGGCGGGAAGCGATCGCTGATGGTCCGCGTCGAAACAAACGGCGAGGACGGAGGGAGCGGAACCAGGCTCGTGGAGGTGGTCGTGGGCGTGCTCCCGCCGAGCGTGAGCCGTCACAACTGCAGCGCCGCGCCGTTCGCGGTGAGCACGATTCTCGCCGGCGTATCCGCGCCCGCTGACCCGGCGCGCGCGCTGGGTATCGTGACGGCGCTGCGGCGCGACGCGGACGCGATCCCGATCGCGACCGCGGTCGCGCGATGCTTCCCGCTGTACACCGCGAAGAGCGTCGCGGGGAGGGACACCGCGGAGGGCCGCGGGAAGATCGCGGAGAGGGGGCGCGTGCGCGTCGCGAGCGTCGTCGTCGGAAAAGACGCGACGGTCGCGTCGGAGGTCACGCCGACGTCGGATGCGGCGGCGGCGGCGGCGGCGGCGGCGGCGCGCGGCGTTCGGTTCGCGGGGCGGCTGGTGGACGCCCCGCCCGCGGCGATGGACCCGGACGCGATCGTGCGCGAGGCTGAGGCGGTCGTCGCGAGGCTGCGCGCGACGCTGGCGAGCGACGGGGGCACGGGGGCTACGATCTCGTCCGACGTCCTGCGGTACGACGCGTTGAAACGCGGCGGGTTCGGGGGGCTCGTCGCCGTCGGCGACGCCGCCGCGAGGGACGGGCGCGAGCCCGCGCTCGTGCACGTCAAGTACACGCCGCCTCCTCCGAGCGGCGGCGAAAGCGACGCGCGACGAGTCGTCGCGCTCGTCGGGAAGGGCATAACGTTCGACACCGGGGGGTTACAGATCAAAGGGAAGAGCGGGATGCCCGGGATGAAATCGGACATGGGCGGCGCCGCGGCGATGCTCGCCGCGTTCGAGGCGGTGTGCGTCCTCCGACCCGCGCATCTGCGCGAGCTGCATTTGGTCCTCTGCGTCGCGGAGAACGCCGTCGGCCCCGCGGCGTTTCGCCCCGACGACGTCGTCGTCCCGCTCAGGTGCGTATTCTTCACACTGGTTCCCATACGACCCCGTTGGCGTGGTGAACGCCGATCCTTAAGGACTTTTCCCGGCGTTTCTCTTCGCCCACCCCTCGCTTTCAATCCCGACACACCTCGACGCCTTTCAACTCCGACTGACGCCTTTTAACTCCACCCCGACGACGCCTCGTGTGGACCCTCTACCCTCAGCGGCCGAACGATCGAGGTCAACAACACGGACGCGGAGGGGCGCGTCGTCCTCGCGGACGGCGTCGCGTTCGCGTCCGGGCCCATCGTCCGAGCGGACGACGTCATCGACATGGCGACGCTGACGGGCGCGCAGATGGTCGCCACGGGGAGGTGAGTGATTTCCGTCATCGCACTGGTCCCCATACGACCGCGTTCGCGGGGTGCACGCCGATCCTTAAGGACTTTTCCTCGCTTTCAACGTTCGACCCCACGACGCCTTTCAACTCCGACCGACGCATTTGAACGCTCACCCCGACGCCGCCTTTGAACGTTCTCTTAGGCACTTCGCCGGGATCGTGTCCGACGACGAGGCGATGGAACGCGCGTGCGAGGACGCGGGGCGACGCAGCGGCGATCTGTGCCACGCGCTGCCGTACGCGCCGGAGTTTTTCACGAGAGAGTTCAGCAGCAAGGTCGCGGACATGCGGAACAGCGTGAAGGATCGGTCGAACGCGCAGGCGTCGTGCGCGGGGCAGTTCATCGCGAATCATCTGGACCCGGGGTGGGGGAAAAAGTCGAGCGCGGGCGGCGGCGGTGGCGGCGACGACGACGAGGGCGGCGGCGGCCTCGTGAAGACGCGGCGGTGGCTGCACGTGGACATGGCGGGCCCGTCCACGGAGAAGGGCTCGGGGCGGGGGACCGGGTACGGCGTGTCGCTGCTCGTCGAGCTCCTGACCGGGTCGTTCTACCGCTGAGGGTTTCCGTTCGGCGCGACGTCGGGAGCGCCGCGTGGATTGGATTTTATTCTCATCAGACGGTGCGAAAGTACGACTCGCGTCTACTCCGTCTTCGGTCTGCGAGCTTCTCTCCCTCTCCCGCTCGCACCGCCAGACAGCATGCTCGCCCACCTCGCCTTCACGACCACGAACCCCACCCACTGCGTCAAAACGTGCGCTAAGCTCCGCAACCCCTGCCACGGCACGCACCAGTGCTTCACGTCGTCCGCGTAAAACGCCGGCCCGTTCCCGAGCCTCGGCGGCGCGACGAGGAGTACGCTGAAACACCAACACGTCACGAGCGCGAGCTCCTGCCCGGCGAGGCCGACGGAGATCGGCCGTCCGTCGACGCGCGACGCGGGCACGCCACCGCCGCTGCCCGCGCCGCCGCCGCCGCTGCCCGCGCCGCCGCCGCCGCCGCCATCCGACGTGGCGTGTTCCGATTGGGCGTCGCCGCCGTCCGACGCCGCCGCGGCGGCTTCCTCCTCGCGAATCTGTTCCCGCCGCGGCGCCGCGGCGACCAGCAGTAGCCCGCCCGCGCCCGCGCGCGACATCGCGACGAGCATGTCCACGAGCGCGTTAAGCGCCTCGGCCTTCCCGCGCTCGCCGCTCTCCGGCGAATGCGTCTTGTCGCTGAGCTCGCGCGCGAGGCACAACGACGCGACGGCGCCGACGAGGCAAAACAGCAGCGACGCCGCGTTCCCCCTTCGGACGAGCCCGCGCGACCACAGCGCGCGGAGGAAGAGCGCCTGCGGGTCGTTCCATACGAGCGAATGTCGGGGTGGAGTTGAAAGGCGTCAGATGGAGTTGAAAGGCGTCGATGGCGGGTATTGAAACCGAGGGGTGGGCGGAGAGAGACGACGGGAAATGTCCTTAAGGATCGGCGTTCACCACGCCGACGCGGTCGTATGGGGACCAGTCTATAGAACGAGCCTGCGTCGGGAGCGTCACGAGGAGCAGATGCAGCGGCTGTGACGGGGCGAGCTTGAGGAGGAGCTCGTCGTCGAGGACGAACGGCGCCGGCGATCGCGCGAGCGCGCAGAACGTCATCGTCGCGACCGTCCACGCCGCGCCGAGGTCGACGACGCCGTCGCCGATCCGCCGCGTATTCCGTCGACGGCGCGAACCCATCGTCGCCAGCGCGAAGAGGAAGTTGGTCGCGGCGACGAACGCGGCGAGGCGGCCGCACGCGGTCTTGGCGTTCGCGAGCGCGGTCTCGGGGCTCAGGTCGTGCGGCATGTCGCGCGGGCGGGGGGGGGGGGGAGGGGGTGAAAGAGATCGGCCGCGGTCGCGCGCGGTGCGCCTCGCGGAGTGCGTCGCGCGATCCGAGCATCCCGTCCTTCCTCTCGAGTCCGAGACTCCAGTCACGCACCAGATCTATCGTCGATCGCGAGGGCTTCCTCCTCCTCACTGCTCGCCTCGCCCCGCACGACGCGGGCGTGATCCGACCCGCTCGCCACCCGCCATGGCGTCTTCCTCCGCCGTCGCCGCCGCCGCCGCCCCGCGCGTCGCCGCGCGCGCGCGCCCCCGCGCGTCGTCGTCGTCGCGCGCGTCCGCGTCCGCCGCGTCCACCGCCCGCCGCCGCGCCTCGGCCGCCGCGGCCGCCCCGAGCGCGCCCTCCTCCGAGCTGTCGTGGCCGGACGCGACCGCGACGGCGACGTGCGACGGCGACCTCGCCGTCGTCGCGAGCGTCGTCAACCTCGGCGCGCGCGGCGTCATCGCGACCGGGCTGCCGTTCCTAGATCACATGATCGACCAGCTCACGTCGCACGCGCAGCTCGGGGTCTCCGTGATCGTCACCGAGGGCGCCACCGCGCGCGAGCCGTGCGTCGACGCGTCGGGGAGCGACGACGAGCGCGTCGCGAGCGCGGCGGGGGAGGCGCTCGGGAGCGCTCTGCGAGCGTTCCTCGCGCCCGGGATCGCGAGGACGCGCGACGGGACCGTCGCGCCGGATGCCGCGAGCGCGGTGTTCGCGGCGCCGCTCGACGAGGCGTACTCGTGGTGCGACCTCAACGCGTCCCCGGAGACGCCGGGGAGGCTCGACTTCGAGCTCACGCCGTACGGACCCGCGTCGTCCCCGGGGGGGATCGGGCGGACGCGCATCGGGACGTACCAGACGAAGCTAACGGAGCCGTTCTTCGCCGCGTTGACGGAGGCGTCCGGGGTGGCGATGCACATCCAAAAGTGCCGCGGGGACAACGCGCATCACATCACGGAGGCGTCGTTTAAAGCCTTCGCGCGGTGCCTTCGCGCGGCGATGGACTCGATGGAGGGCGTGGACGTCGTCTCGATGAACGCGAAGCTGGAGGGCGTGACGAGGAGCGCGTCGAGGGCGAGGGCGACGAAGGAGACGGACATCGACGTCTTCGTAGATTTGGACGGCGCGCCCGACGTGACCTCCGTGAGCACCGGCATCGCAACCTTAGACGCGCTGCTGTGCGAGATCGCCGCGCACGGCGGCGTCCAGCTCAACGTGAAAGCGACCGGGGACTTGTGGATCGACGACCACCACACGACCGAGGACGTCGCGATCACGATCGGTCAGGTCCTGTGCGAGGCGTTGGGGGATAAGGCTGGGTGCAACCGCATGGGACGCGCCGTCGCCGCGGTGCTCGACGGCGGCGACGTCGACGCCGCCGACGCCGCGGACGCCGCCGTCGTCGAGGCCGTCATGGACCTGTCGAACCGGCCGTACTTGGAGAACGGCGTGGAGTTCAGGGACGAGTTCATCGGCGATTTATCCGCGGAGATGATCGACCACCTGTTCATGTCGGTTACCGCCAACGGGCAGATGACGGTGCACCTGGTGCAGCACGCCGCGGGAAAGTCCGACGGGGACTTGGCGGTGGCGGCGGCGCGCGCGTTCGGGAGGTGTCTGAGGCAGTGCGTCGCGGTGGATCCGCGGCGCGCGGGGGCGGTCGCGAGCAGCAAAGGGACGCTGTCCGTGTGATGGAGGAAGGAGCGTCGAGCGCGTTCGCGTGAAGTGATCGTACCGTATCCTCCGTTCTGTGAAAAGCGCGAAACTCGCCCTCCCCCGGCCTGTCCCGCGTCCCGTCCCCCCCCGCTATTCGTTTAAATCCTCGTCGTCCCCCATCCCCACCGCGCGCGCCATCGCCATCGCGAACGATCCCATCGCATCACTTCCCCGTGAGCCGCGCCATCGCGGCCGCGACCTGCGCTTGCAAACTCTGCAGCGCCCCGACGGCGGCGTCGACGGTTTCCCCCCCGTTGGACGCGTCCACGGCGCCCAGGTCAATCTCCGTCCCGTCGTCCGTGGTGACGACGAGCGCGCTCCTCTCGCCGCCTTCCGATGCTCCTCTCATCGCGACGATGGACGCCTTCCTCCCGTGCGCCGCGCCCGCGCCGCCGCCGTCGCCGTCGCCGCCGCCGCCGCCGCCGTCGCCGCCGGTGCTAAACCGGACGCGCTTCACGGCGGAGGCGAGCGCGCGTTTCGACGCGTCGGCGCCGGCGCCGGCGCCGTCGTCGTCCGAGCCTTCGCCGTCGTCCGCGGCGCCGAGCGGCGAGCCGTTCGCGGAGTACAACACCTCGCCCTTGCGCGCGCGGCGGAGCGTCGCGGGCGTCTTCGCGACGGACATTCGCGGCATCTGCGGCGCCGCGACCGCGGCGCCGCCGCCGCGTCCGTCGACGGGAGTACACGGCACCGCGAATGATGAGCCGCCGTCGGCGGCGGCGTTCGCGAACGCCCCCCGCCTCTTCGCGCGGTCCGGCGTCGCCGCGAGCAAGGTCCCCGTGCCCGCGGCGATGGCCGCTGCGGCGGTCCGCGCGGTCTTGCGCGCGGCGTCGGACGCGCCGCCGGAGTACGGCGCGGCGAACATCGGCGGCGGCGGCGGCATCTCGCCTCCTCGCGTGGAAACGTTCGGGCTCAGCTCCTGGTTCGCCGCCTCCTCTATCTGTCTCTCTCTCTCTCTCTCCTTCTCCGCGGCTTCTTTCTTCGCCGCCTTCGCCGCGGCGATGGACGCGTTCGTCGGGCGGCCGCGCTTCCGCGTCGGCGCCGGCGCGGGGGCGTTCTCCTTTCCCGCCGCCGCCGCCGCCGCCGCCGCCGCCGCCGTCGCCGCGCGGAGACGAGCTTCGACGTCTTTCAGAAGCTCCGCGCTGATCTCGCTTCTGTAGTCCTCGCTGAACTGCTTCAGCGTCATCGCGCGCACCTGAGCGGGTTCGGACGGGATCGAAGAGAGCGGGAGCGGGACCGCGGTGAGACGACGGGCGGGCGGAGGGGACGCGGCGGCGGGCGTGGTTGCCCGCCCGGGGGAAAAAGGAACGACCGCTTTACGTTCATCTCGGCGCGTACGACGAGATTCGTCCCGTCGCCGCGCGGTCCTCGGCGCACCTTCTTGGGGATCTTCGCGAGCTGCGTCTTCACCTCCTCGCGCATCTGCGCCTCGCACGCCGCCGCGATCTGCCGCAAGGCCTCGCATCGTATCTCCACTGCGAGGGGTTGGGGGTAGGGCGCGCGGGTCGCGGTGAGTCGAGCGAGATTAGATTCAGGAGCTGTTGGGGCTGTTGAGGCTCGAGAAAACGTCTCGACGCGGCGGGGACGTCGCGCGCGATGCGCCGCCGGCGCGTCCGGGAGGAAACGACGCGAGGTGACGACGCGCGAGGGGTCTCATCGCGCACGTTCAGAGTCGAGGTCCGCGAGCTCCTTCTCGAGAAGCGCTCTCGCGTCCCCCTCCGCGGGCGCGTCCGTCGCGGTCGTCGGCGGCATCTTCTCCGCGACTGGGGCATCTCCGCGAGCCGTCGAGCCAACGGCTTTCGGGGACACCATCGGCGCGGTCGCGCGCGTCGGCGCGGACTCGACGTTCTCCTCCGCCGCGGTCTTCTGCTTAAGCGCGTTCCCTCGCCGGGCTCGCGGCGCTCGCGGCGGCATCGCGAAAGCTCGACGCGACGCTCCCCCGGACGCGTCGCCTCCGCGTCTCGGAATGGCCGCGCGCGCGCGTTCCGAGGAGGCTGGGGGAACGTTTCGGATCGTGGTCGCGGTCGGGCGCCTCGCCTCGGCGGGAAAGTAAGCTTAAGATCCGCCGCACGGCGTGGGACGCGCCGAGGAGATCGCGACGCGCGCGGAGGCGACATCCATCATGGCGCCGACGGGCGGCGCGCCGTCCTCGACGCCGAGCTCGGGCGCGCCCGGCGGGTTCCTGCGTCAGGCGCGGTTCCCGGGCGCGCCGGACCCCGCGAGCGCGGCCGCGCGCGCGCTCGGTCGCTCGCGGCCGACGACGATGAGCGCGGGAGAATCGAGCGCGGCGGGACCGGGATCGGGGCACCCGCGCGACCCGCCCGCGCCCGCGCCCGCGCCCGCGCCCCCGATCGCGTCCATCACGACCGCTACTACCACGACGTCCGCCGTCGCCGCGAAGCCGAAGCCGCCGAAGCGCGACCGATGCCTCGTCGAGCTCCTGCGCGAGTTGCTCGAGCGACGGCGGATGCCCGCGAAGCTCGCGAACCGTCTTCCGAAGTGGAACGAGCCGCACTTCTGCTGCTCGGAGGACGACAAGGTGCGCGCGAAACACGCGGAGGCGCACACTGCTGACGCGCCCGACGGCGTGGACGCCGTCGTCGAGATGCTGAAGAACGAGGCGAAGCCGTTCGCGGTCGTCGCGGAGGAGTTGGTCGCCGCAGCGAAAGAGGGAAGGATCGCCAACGAGGAGTGCTTCGTCGACGAGGAGCCCGTGAAGCTGTCGTGCCCGATATCGTGCGCGCGCCTGGAGTGCCCGGGGAAAGGGCGCGACTGCAAGCACCTCGAGTGCTTCGACCTGCGGACGTTCGTGCGCGTGAACCTCAGAGCGCTGCGCGTGCTGAAGTACACGGAGTGCGTCGCGCCGGATAAGAAGCCGACGTGCCACCGGTTTCACACGGAGAAGAAACCGCGCGGGGAGTGCGAGTACTGCCGCGCGTGGAGGTGCCCGCTGTGTCGCGTGCCGACGTCGATCGCGGACTTGAGGTACGACGCGTTTGTCGCGAGGATCTTGGCGCGAGAGCCGGAGGCGAAGCGCGTCACGGTGAAACACTCGACGGCGCAGTGGGTCGCGGTGGAAGAGGAGGAGGAGGACGGCGACGAGGACGAGAGCGATTCCGGGGAGGGGCGAGGGCAGGGCGAGGGCGAGGGCGAGGACGGGCGGCGGCTGTCGTGGGCGGAGAAGTATATGGGCAAGGGGAAGGCGGAGGAGGAGGTGATCATCTTGGACTCGGACGACGAAAACCAAGACGACGGCGGCGGCGGCGGAAACGGGGGAAACGGCGGCGGAAACGGCGGCGGCGGCGGAAATGGCGGCGGCGGCGGAAACGGCGGCGGAAATGGCGGCGAACGCGCGATCGCGAAGAAACCAACAAAACCGACGAACCCCCCGCCCGCGGACTCGCCCCCGTCCGCGCCGAAGCCCGCGAAGAAGACGACGACGGTCAGAGTAGACGAGAAGCTTCTGAGAGACGTCGCGACAGCGGTGGACGCGTTGTCGAGAAACGTCTTCAACGCGAACGAGTCCACGCGCAACGCGTGGATCATGACCGCGTTCGCGGAGGGCACCGCGACCGACGCGATCGCGGACTTGCTGTCGCTCCTGAAGAAGTTCAAGGCCATGGTCGAGAAGCTCACGAGGGACGATTACGTCGATTTCGTGGAGCGCGCCACGGAGACGGACGCGACGGCGAACATCAACAAGTTTAAGGCGGATCTGAAGAAAAACTGGACAGTGGGGCATCAGCTCGAGCACTCGCCGCTGGCGGACGTCCTCACGACGGTCCGAACGCTGATGATGGAGGCGCAACGCATTTGCAAGCAGAACATCATGCCGCCGGCGACGGCGGCGACGACGACGGGGAAGAGGAAGGATAAAGATACGGAGAAGGAGAAGGCGTCCGCCGCGGCGCCGGCGTCGAAGAAACGTCCCGCGGAGGAGCCGCCCGCGCCCCCCGCGGCGAAGAAACCGACGGCGGCGAAGAAGGCGAAGACGACAGCGGCGAAGACGGCGAAGTCGACGACGGCGGCCGCGGAGACCACCGCGGGACGCGTGACGAACGTCGCGAAGAAGAACGGCGCCGGCGGGGTGTGCTACGCGCACGGACACGGGCACTGCGATTGGGACGGCGTCGGCGCGCTCAAGATCCACCCGGACCTGCGCGTGCCGATCTGCCAGGGGTGTTACCGGTTTTATCACAAAGAGCCGTTCACGCGGGACGAGGACGGGATCTTCGAGCACTGCAGATGCTGCGCGGACGGCGGCGCGAGGATGTACATGTGCGACGCGTGTCCGCAAATTTTCTGCGACAAGTGCGTGCTCAACTTGGGCGGTCCGCGGTACGTGAAGTCGATGCACGAGTGCGACGTGTGGTCGTGTCTGATGTGCGCGCCGCCGCCGGAGCTCGTCGCGAAGCAGGTGAAGACGTGACGTGAGCCCTAGCTAGATCCCTGAGACGCGTTGGCGAACGACGAAAGAACGAACCGAAGATGATACGTTAAACGTCTCGCCCCCGCTCCGCCGTTCCCCCCTGCTACGCGCTACTCCCTCCGTCCCCCGTCCCGATCCCGTCACGGATACTGCAGCGGCGTCCCGTCCTGCTCCACCGTCCCCATCTTCGCCGCCTCCACGAGCGCGTCCTGCTCGCTCACTAACCGCGCGATGAGCTTCTTGCTCGTCTCCTGGAGCTCTCCCGCGACGAACACCTCGTCCAGGAGGTAGTACGCCTTGTGAAAGTTAAAGATGAGGTCCAGCTCGCACACGTTTCCGAAGTACCGATCTAAGATCTCGACGTAGTGCTGGATCATCTCCAGGACGATGAGCTCGTTCTCCTCGTCGTCCACCGCGAGCGTGAAGTACAGCGACGCGTACCTCTTATAGATGAGCTTCAGGTTTCGATGCTCGACGACGTTGCACAGCTTGGACGGGCGCGAGAGGATCTGCGACGTGACCTCCTTCACGAGCTTCGCGCGCTCTTTCTGGCTGTACGGCTTGTAGTACTTCGACAGCCGGACCTTGCCTTGCCGGCTGAACAGCAGCGCGAAGTGAATCATGACGCCCCGCGCGCGCCGCGGAGAGTGAACGAACGGCCCGGTCGCGTCCTGCCCTAGAAATTCCGCCCGCGGGACCCGGCGTTTCGGCCGTCGGTCAGATCGGTCAGTTGAGAGGAAGGGGGTCAGTTTGACCGGCTGGATCGATCGGGGAGTGGTTTGAAACTCACAACGGGCCGCTTTTGATCGGAATCCCTGGTAACGACTGAACTCCGGTCAGATCCAACGCGCGCGGCGCGATGCCTCCGAAGCGCGCGAAACCGACGACGGACGCCCCCCCCGCGGAGACGGACGCGGAGGCGGACGTCCAAGTCCACGGCGAGGGCGCGGGCGCGCACGACGCGACGAACGACGCGGAGCCGCGGACGGAGGACGCCGCGACGACGGACGAAAAGACGACGACGACGAAGGATGCGGGCGGGGAGAGATCGCCGCGCGGGCACGTCGGGCAGACGCCGAAAGGTACCTCCTCCGCGCCCTCCGCGGCGATGGACCCGATGAACTACCTTCTCCCCGAGGAGCAGTACGCGAACGTCCGCGCGATGCTCGCGGCGGCGGTGAACGACGTCTCGACCAAGCTGCAGAACAGGACGCCGTCGATGATGTTGTACGAGCACTGCCAGCGAAGCGCCAAGCACGGCGCGCGCGAGCGGCCGCACGTCCTGCGATGGACGGAGACGATCGACCCCACCGCGGAGGAAGACGACGACGACGCGAAGACGAAGAAGAAGAAGAAACCCTCGACGAAAGCGACGACGAAGGCGAAGTCGGAGGACGTCGACGCGGGCGAAGGCGCGAAGACGGAGGAGGAAGACGTCGCCGAGGACGCGGCGGCGGCGGCGGCGGCGGCGCGCGCGTTTCGCTGCGCCGTCGACGTGCTCGACGGCGAGGGCGACGACGCGCCTCTGGTCGCGTCCGCGTCCGCGAGCGCGAGCAACAAGAAGGAGGCGAAGCAGAAGGCTGCCGCGGGCGCGATCGAGGCGCTGATGAAGCTCGGCGTGCAGGCGCACGAGTTCACGCGGCTGCCGAAAAGAAGCGCGGCGGGGAAGCGGAAGGCGCCGCCGGAGCACGCGAGGACGGGGGCGACGGGGGGGAACGGAGACGGCGGCGGCGGCGGCGTTTCCAACCGCGAGGCGAAGCGACAGAACGGCGGCGGGCGCGGGCGAGGAGATTCGTGGAACGGCGGGCGCGGCGGCGGGCGCGGCGGGCGGGCGTACGGACACGGGCGGGCGCAGCAGCAGCAGCCGAACTACGCGCTTCAGCGAGCGATCTACACTGCTGCTGGCGTTCCGCGCGGCACGATGTACGCGTTGCATCAGCATCAGCATCAGCATCAGCAGCAGCAGCAGCAGCAGCAGCAGTACCACCACCAACAACATCACAATCAACATCAACCCACGATGATGATGCAGCCGATGTTCGTCCCGTATCAGCAGCACCCGGGGGTTCCGCGGTTGCCGGATCTCTCCGGGCTCATACACGATATGCAGCGGGGACGGGGAGGGCAGCACTGGCATCAGGGAGGGCAGCGAGGGCGAGGCGGCGGGGGGTGGTGAAACGGACGTCGAGTCGATTAGTTGAAGAATTGTGTGTTGAATACGAGAACCCTTCTCGGGATACTCTACTCCGCGGTCCGGGCGGACCCGCTCGCCACCCTCTCCTCCTCCGCCTCTCCGATCGATCGATCGATCGATCAAAGTCGTCAGTCGCGTCGCTTCTCGTCTCGTCGCGCGAGTCGAGCCGAGATCGCGCTTCTCACAGGTCATCCGCGGACTTCGCGAGCGCCTCGAGCTTATCCTTATCCGCCCCCGTGAGCTCCTGCACCTTCACGCCGTTGCTGTACAGCTGGAACGTCGGCATCGCGGAGATGCCGCACTCCGCGGCGACGTCGTCGAGGTCGTCCACGTCAACCTTGACGAAGACGACGCCGGGGTACTTCGCCGCGAGCTCCTCGAAGAACGGGGCGATCATCTTGCACGGGCCGCACCAGGACGCGGTGAAGTCGACGAGGACCTGCGCGACGAGTTTGGCGCGATGAATGGAATGGACGGACGGACGGAGACGACGGGCGTGAGCGAGGCGGGGGGATCGTTCGATCGGTCCGCGGCGTTTGTTCGCATCGCGTGCGTGTTTGAACGCGCCGAGAGGAGCGAGAGCCGTGTTCGAGGGCGACGCGAGGCGAGCGACGCGCGCGAGATCGCGCGCGCGTCGCGCGCGATCTCGCGAGTGACCCGCTGGGATCGCGGATCGCGACGACGCGAGCGCGTCCGCGGGTCGACGCGAGGATGCGATCGCGCGGCGATCGCGCGCGGCGGGTCCGCGGCCCGGACGCGGCGCGCGAAAAGCGGCATCGAACGCGGCGCGCGCCCTCGTCGAGGACGTCAAAAAAATGCGTCGCCGTCGGGGAGGATCTGCGACGCGAGACGCACCGGCTTGTCCCCCGTCTTGAGCGCCTCGAATTCTTCCTTGGACTCAACGATCTTGACCATTGTGAGCGTGGCGTGCGAAGCGAAAGTCGCGCGTTGGGGTGTGCGGACCGCGAGCGATCGTTGACAGGACTTGATGACAAACTCTCTCGTCACGACCTCTTGGAAGGCGAGGCGATATTTTTTCAACGACCGCGACCGGCGGAGAGAGAGACGCGGACGCCCGGTTTTTCGCACCTCCATCGCAGAACGACGACGCGCCGGGCACGATGGCGTCCTACATCACGAAGGCCGGCAGCGCCGCGATGAAAGCCGTGGAGGTCGTGCGCACGAAAGCCATCCCGCCCGCGGTCGAGTACTACAAGGCGACGATGGCGAAGAACGCGGAGTACGTCGTGAAAGATCCCGCCGCGGTGGACAAGCTCGGGAGGCAGCTCGTGTTCAGCAACCTCGCGAGGCGCGTCCCTCGCCCCGCCTCGCCCGCCCGCGCCGCCGGGCGCTTCGTCTGATCCTCCTCCCCTCCCGCGCGACTCGCGATCGCGCGCCGCGGGGGGTCTTCGCGACGACTCGGAGGGCACGCGCGGGATGGATCCGCGCGCGACGACCGCGCGTCGTTTCGAGCGCGCTCCGATCCTCGCTCCCTCTTCGGCTCGTCGCGCGCCTCTCTCTCGCGCGCGATCGGTCGATCCGCGAGACTGACCGCGCGCGGTTCCCGTCGTATTCGCACGCGCAGGCTTCCCACGATGCTCGAGGCGGCGCAGGGGGAGATTAAGGTGTTGGAGTCGAAGTGGAAGGGTCGCATGGACCTGCCGATGACCGAGGTGCGCGCGGAGCCCGCCGCGGGTTTTTCCCTCCCGATCGCGCGCGCGTCGCCCGTCTTCCCGAGCCCGGCTTTCCCTCGACGCACGACGCCCGAAATCGACCGACGGGTGGCGTCTGAACCGACGTCCCTCCCCCTCTCGCTTCCGACTCGATTCGCGCGCGCAGATTGGCGTCGGCGCGCTCTTCACCGCGGAGGTGTACGCGTGGTTCTGCGTCGGAGAGGTCCTCGGCCGCGGCGGCTCCATCACCGGATACTGAGCGGTCTCCGGCGACGCGGGACGGCGCGCGGCGGCGGCGAAAAAAGTGTAACGAACGCGCGATAATGTTAACGGTGTCTTCATTCATGCTTCTATCCATCGCGCGCCTGCTCGTACCTACGAGCGCGTCCGGTCCGCGCGCTATTCAAACCCGGGCGGGGCTTCGCCGGGGGGAACGTACGCGTACGGGTCGAACCCTAACGCGGCGGCGAGGTCGTCGTCGTCGTCGTCGTCGTCGTCGTCGCCGTCGTCGCCGACGCCGCGCCTCGGCGCCCCGGCGCCCGCGCGTTCGCCGCCGCCGCCGCCGCCGCCGCCGCCGCCGCCGCCGCCGGCGCTCCCGCCGTCG